GTGTGTTATTAGTCGAAGAAGGAAATCGAAAGCAAGGTAAAGTTAGCGCTAAGACGACTAGCGCTACTATTGTTAACATTACTTACTATTGTCGCTGCGCCTACAGACACAACCTTACCTGCACTATAAGCCTAAGGCACCCTTAATTAAAACTTTAATTAAAGCCTTAAGCCTGTTAAAGGTTTAATTAAAACTTTGAGGCTAAGTCAAAACTTTGACTAAGTTAAAAGATTGAGCGACTAATAGACTAACTAAGGGTAAAACTATAGAGCTAAGCTAGCCGGGGTCGATCTTGCGGACAATAGGTTACTCCTCGATCTTTCTAACCCTTTAAGCGAGGCGAACCTCTACTACTGTACTTATAATAGCCTTTACCTATAGAAACTAGAAGAACTGAGTTTTTTAAAAAGATATAATTAGTTAACACTTGAAGGCTGCTAAACCTAACTAATTTAGGCTAGCGAAACTACGATAGTAAATAATAGCCCTCGTAATAATAAGAACAACCCTCGGAACGGACAAACCCTCGGAGCGGACATTTCTAGGTCTATTAGAGTAGACGCAAAGAACTCGTACGACATCACTTAGAACGGAGGTAGTGCTACAATACCTCGTACGTCTACCTGTTATAGTAGGGAAGACGCGCTCGTATTGTAATTAGTTAATAGCCCTCAATTCTTATAGATATATATTACTTTATAGTTTATTATATATAGAGATAGCGCAGTTAGAGTTGTATATTGTATTGTTTGGAGGTGAAGTTTAACATAGTTATATAATCGGTAGTTGTGCGTTCGATTTAGCGCGGACTAAGCGGCTTATTAGACCTGCTAAGTTAGTAGCAATAGAGGTTGAGGCTAGAACAAAGACCGGCTACGAGGGCGCGGCCTTTAGAAGGGAAGCGTATGTTAGGACTAAAGAGGTTACACGTAATTAGCATGTAACCGGGCTCGAGTAAAGCTAGGGTCTCGATGCCTTAGGCAGGGCTTGGCGCTTGGCAGTAGGCCAACTTGCCTGCCTTCCTCCCTCTCCTTCTAGCTCCTTATCGAATACTACTCGTACCTACCACTACCCTATCTACCTACTAACATACCCTTCTTATACAAACTCTCGGAAGCGGATATTGCTAGGTCTTTTAGAGTAGACGTAAAGAACTCGGAACGACATTACTTAGAGCGGAGGTAGTACTATAATACCTCGTACGTCTACCTATTATAATAGGGAAGACGCGCTCGTATTATAATTAGTCGATAGTCCTTAATTCTTATAGATATATATTACTTTATTATATATAAGGATAGCGCAGTTAGAGTTAGATATTGTATTAGAAGGTAAGGTTTAATATAGTTATATAATTAGGTAGTTAAGTGTTTAATTTAGCGCGGGCTAAGCAACTTATTAGACTTGCTAAGTTAGTAGTAATAGAGGTTAAGATTAGAACATAGACAGGCTACGAGGGCGCGGCCTTTAGAAGGGAAGCGTATATTAGAGGCTATACGTAATTGGCATATAACTAGCTCGAGTAAAGCTAGGGTCTTAGTACCTTAGGTAGGGCTTAGCGCTTAGCGTTAGGCTAACTAGCCTACCTTCCTCCTTCTCCTCCTAGATCTCTATCGAATACTACTTATACCTACTACTACCCTATCTACCTACTAATATAACCCCTATTACATCTTATATAACGAGACGCGTTATAAACTATTCGCTATTACGTTAACTAGGGCTAGAGGATATAAGACGATGTTTCCTACTACCTAAACCCTAGTATAGGTAAACGAAACAATTAAGGAGGTATATAGTAAAAACTACGATCGATTACTAGCTTTACGTATAATAGTACTATAGCCGGGTAGCTATATACCGTCGAGAGACGTAGTCTAAGCAGTCGGTAGAGATCCCGATATAATAGTATCGAGACTAATATTAGAATAGTTGCGAGAAGCTATACGAAAGGAGCGAGGCTATATTAATACCTATATCCGATCGACCTTAATAAACTAAGTACCGATCGCAATAACCGATACTCTAAAAAGGATAGTATACGCTAAGAGGATACTCGATAACTAAATCTTCGAGTACTACGACGAGAAACTAGTAAGACCCTCTCTAAAATAGTATAGTTACTAGATAATAGCTAACGGTCGATATATACTACGCGCTACTTTAGTAAGCTTATATATAAATGTCTAGCGGGTATACTACTCCGGTAGGATCGGCGAGGCTAGAAGATATATATTAAATAGTACTACTATAAAGTTACCCCTTTTATAATATTGTCTATCGCTACGGTACTTAGTAGAATACTAACCGGATAGTCGATAGAGTCGTATTTAACTAAAGTTAGAGGTAAAGCGATCTAGCTAGCCTTAGATTATAAGTTAATATACTAGCCGTTCCTAGATCGGATAACTACGTAGAATGCGACGGATTAAGCTACTCGTAACCTTCGGTTGTCGAAAGCGTAGAAGATATACGTACGGTATATAGGTAGAGTATAGGATACCCCTAAATTATTAATAAATAACTTCGAGAGCGTACGTAACGATATCGATATACTTATAGCAATCGACGTCGTTTTAGATTCCGATAATAAAGGCAGATCGATCGAGCGCTATAGTAAGAGTAGTCTACGAGCGCCGTATTTCTCTTATCTACTAATATAATCGATAGGTCCTAAAGCGTCTACTAGGCAATAATTAAGTAAACAACTTAAAGCTAGCGATAATACGATAGATAAGTTAGCGGAGGCGGAGGCCCTACCTAAGAAAAACGATATTAGACTACCTATACTATAGAGCAGTTTCTAAGCGATAGATTAGGAGCTAACGGAGGCTACTAATCCGTTTGCTTCGGTACGAGGAGGTAACGGTATAAGTATAACCGAGACAATAGAATATAATAGAACCGAAGACAATTAATATAAAAGGTATAAATATACCGCGGTAATAACAATAGGGAAGGATTACGCGCTAATTACTATAAAAATAGCAGGTATTCTAACTAGTCTTATATAATAGATAAGACTTTATTCGCGGCGGTAAGTAATCGCGTTAGGGATATATTAGGGCTAGAAGAGGGAGAGTAGATATAGTAGGCGGATATAGAGGCGGACGGCGGCAAAGTTAAGAAGATAGTATTTAACGAAGAGACGTAGGATCGAAGAATTAGGAGATATATAGTAAAAGAGAAGAAGAAGTCGAAAGGAAACAAACCAAAGAAGGTAGAGGTATATCGCTTTAATATAGCCGTAGAGGACGAATAGAATACATTCTTATTAACTGTAATAAATAGATGCCCTATATAATATAACGAAATCTATTAATACTATACGAGTCGGTCGCTAAGTCGGTACTAACTTAGTATACGTAGTAGACATATATAAATGCTAGTAGTTACCTAAGTATGCGTATAAACGTTAGATATTAGTAGAAGCAACAATCGTATAATATATAGATCCGATAGAAAATATAATTTAAATACTAGTACTAGTATCTACGACGACTCGAGCCCGACTCGATATACGAGTCGGACGGTAAAGAATAAAATTCTAACTACGATTAGATTTGCTAGAATTTCTAGATTACGACGATCCTATTAGATAAGATCTTTAACGTACGATCCTAAGGATCCTAAGAATCCTAAGCGATCCTATCGATAGGATCGTCGCGATCGGTAAAAAAGTTTCTATAACGATATATCTCTACCTATAACCTACTAGTCCTACCTATACTTTCTAGAGCTAAAGGTAGGGCTGTCTTTATTTATTTAAAGGTATAGGTATATATATAGTTACGAAGAAACGATTATAGTCCTCGCCTAGAGCGAAAGCTAGACTACTAATATAATAGTACTACTAAAGAGACCTTAGTAGTATCGAGACGTCCTACTATTATTAACCTAATACCGATATAATATAAAAGGAATACTATTACTATTACGCGAGGGACGAATTAGTAGGTCTATAATAGTATAGTATTATAGAAGTATCTACGGTACTACGGAAGTATATACTAGGCTAGCGTCCCGTGCCTACCGTAATAGTACTCCCGTTCGATAGAATAAAGGCTAGTATACTAGGATAGCTAAGCCTCTTCTTATATATAGTAATATACTTCTTCCTATTTCTTCTATTTTCCTTACTACTCGTATTTATATTATATAATTTACTAGAGTCTACTAGTTATAGTCTTACTCGTTAGAGTCTATTAGTTCCGATTTAGTCTTAGAGCTAGTAGCCTTAGCTTTAGTAGACTTGCCTTTAGTAAAGCCCTATAATTTATATATCTTCTTTTTTATAAACAAGTCGCTATCGGCCTTACGCTTAGACGGGATAGTAGGCTTGCGTATACTAGTCGCCTTAGCTAGGCTAGCCTTAGCCGAGCGCGTATCTATAGCCTACGTTAGGATCTTAAGTAGCGGCAAGTCGGATACTAAAGCTATAGATATTAGTAGTATCTATAGAGTAGGCGCTTTTGCCTTATTCTTAGGTATAGGCGGCGCGAGCTTATCCTTAGCCGCTAGTACGTATTTAGATCTATAGCGTAATAGGCCTAGCGTTAATAGCTATAGTACTAGTAGCTACGGCGCTAGTAGTAGGGCTCGGCTCTACTATATAGGCTAGCTAGGCTTGTCTATTACTATAGTACTAACGCGCGAAGTCTTAGCTTTTACTACTATAGCGAGCTAGTCTAGAAGGTATAGGTATAGGTCGCTCTATTACGAGTCTAAAGGGTCTATATTACTAAAATACCGACGATACGGTATCTACGATATACTAGAGGATTCTATGTATTAGAAGGAGGAGAAATAATTAAAAAACTACCAAAAAATGGCGGTATAGTTCCTCTCTCGGAGGTGCAGGGTTCTCCCCGCACCGGCACTGACAGGTTTTAGGCAAACGATAGTAGGATGGCTGAAAGTCTCCGTCCGCCAAGACACCCAACCTTGATTCTCAAAGACATTGATGGACCACGACCTCAGCTCCCAGATATACCACAACAATGCCGAAGCGCAGACGAGAACGCGATCGACCCAAAGCCGGCCCAGAGTCTGCATACAATCCAAATAAGCGGGTCTTGTTGAGCTACGGGTCGGACGATGATGAGCCTGAGGAAATCACCGAGCACCAGGATGTCGCTGTTCAGGCAGAGCTCGAAGGTCGCAACATCGCCAACTATCAGATGACAGAATACCCAGACAGCGATAGCGAAGTCGGGCTCGGCGCGCAGCCAGAAGGCACAGAGCAGACGGAGACACATCTCGCGACGGCAGAGGCAGCAGAAGGCGAAGCTGTAGGGGAGGAAGAAGAAACTCCATCACGACCATCCGAAGGTTGGCGGAACGATGCGCGCAAGAACCACGAGACGAATCAATATACGGCAGTCGGGATGGAGAACGAAGATGACGGCTATGATAGCACAACAGAAGAAGCCATGGCGTATCTCCGTACCGTTAAGAACGAGCGGCAGGCTATACCCGAGATTCTCTCTGCCTCACATCCAGACATCACTCAGCTTGACGAAGCTCAGCACGAACCAGAAGAGGAAACTGATGAAGATGGGTATATGGTCGAAGATGGCACGTACATCGGCCGGCCTGTCGCGCCTGTGGCTACTGCAGAAGACGACACCTTAGACCCACAAAGAGCGTTCACGGAATCGCTCAAGGACAGATTCTACATTCAACGCGACCAGCTACACATTCTCCCCTCAGCAGAAAAGGTTGCAGCACTTGGCGAGCATCACCCAATCTCTTTCCCGCAAGGTAACAACAAAGCTTACGCCGAATGGCATCGTCTGCTGAGCTCGAAACCACCGAAAGCCGCGCAACTACAATCCCTTGACCAAGATTCCGTCTTCAACCTTCTGGCTCTGCTGCAGAAAACGTATTTGATCAAGGGAAGGAATCTGAGAAACGTCACCAGTGCTTGGGTTTGGTCACTTCTCGCAAGGCTGGACGATGTCGGCAGCATGAGCAATGATCAAGTATACCCTTTGCGTGAGTTGGGCAAAAAAGCCATTTTCTTGCAACTACACTTCAGCAATCCTGAAGCCGCGGCTCAGCTTGAGACTTTGCAGCAAGGTGAGGCTGTTGGTAATGAAGCCAACGGCAGCGCAGAGATTTCGACCGAGTACGACACCGATGGAGTTGCTATCAAGGCTACAGCACAGTCATCCTCCTCACATTCGGACCAGCCCAGGAGGTTTCACGCCGTTGCCTCGGAGAACACGCTGGCCACACTTGATATGATTCTGGTTGTTATAGGTGATATCTTCGGCCAGCGTGATTTGCTCGAATTCCGACAACCTTGGTCGAAAGCTGCTCCAGCTGAAGAAGCTGTGGCAGACTGACGAGAACGATCCTGTTCGGGCATCGCAAATGGGAGGATGCCGCATTGCGCTTGTGGACGCTAGGGCGCATCGGCTCCAATATTCAGCTTCAGGCATTGGCTTCCATCTTTTACGCTCGTCGGTGTGCTCGTAAACAAACGGCGCCATTTGTTTCTGAAGGATCTCTGCTTTACGAGGTGGAGCTCGTAGGCTCCGCAAATCGGCCTTTTCGCCGCAGCAGCCGACCCGTCGTCCACCGCACATGTTCAGCTTGAGCATTGAGTAATTTCAGTAGGTATTCTAATCACTCTACTTGCACTCTCATCCCCAACTTTCCTTGTCAACGACCTCTACTACTGACATTACTGATAACAATGGCTTCCATCTCGGACCTCGTCAACAAGCATCGCCCGGATCTGGCGGAATATGAGGAACTGTACAAGTACTATCATGCCAACCCTGAGCTATCAAACCAGGAGAGTGAAACCGCAGCACATATTTGCAACTATCTGCGCGAGAAGATATCATCCGACTTTGATATTCGAGCCAACATTGGCGGTCACGGAATTGCAGCTCTGTTCTACAACGGCTCTGGTCCCACTGTGCTTCTACGCGCCGACTTTGATGCTCTGCCAGTGGAAGAGCGCACCGGTCTGGAATATGCTTCCAAGAAGCGCATGCGTGATGCCGACGGCGTTGAGAAACCTGTAATGCACGCTTGCGGACACGACATGCACATTACGTCTCTGCTTGCTGCCGCACAAACTCTTGTCTCGGCCAAGGACTCATGGTCGGGTACTCTCCTTCTAGCCTTTCAACCAGCCGAAGAACGAGGTACTGGAGCAAGAGCCATGGTCGACGATGGGATGTACGACCCAAAGAAGCACAATGTCCCAATCCCAGACGTCTGCCTGGGAGGCCACGTCGTACCCTGGCGAGCAGGACTGCTCGGCACACGTCCCGGCCTGATTGCCACATCTGCGGACTCTATGCGCATCACTCTCCACGGCCGCGGTGGTCACGCCTCAATGCCAGACCGGCTCGTCGACCCCGTCGTAATGGCCGCCTCCACAATTATGAAACTCCAAACCATTGTATCCCGAGAAGTCGACGCCTTTGACACAGCAGTTGTGACAGTGGCCAGTATCCAGGCCGGAGACGCAGAAAACGTTGTAGTAGACGATGCCCGCATCGCAGTCGACGTTCGAGCAGTAAATGCCAAAACCCGAGAAAAGGTCTTAGCTTCTGTCCGCAGAATCGTGAAAGCAGAATCTCTGGCTTCGAATGCGGTCAAGGAACCCACGATCCAAATCACTAGGAACTTCCCACTCACTATCAATGACGAAGCCACCACGAAAAAACTCGCGGAATCTTTCTCGGCGCATTTCCCGAGTATTAAAGACAATGCTTCCGGGTTCAATTCTTGTTGTGATAAGTTGAGTGGGTCAGAAGATTTCTCGATTCTCGGGACAGCGGTTGATAGACCTTGTTGTTTTTTCATGTATGGAGGAACGCCGCATGAGAAGTGGGATCAGGCGGAAAAGGAAGATAGGTTGAGTGAGAGCATTCCGGTCAATCATTCCGGACTTTTTGCGCCTGCAATTCAGCCTACGTTGACGACTGGGGTGGATGCTTATGTTGTTGGCGCGTTGACGTTTTTGGGGAGGAAGTGAAGGGTGCGAGACAAGGAGAGAGGCACGGCGGGAGAAGGAAGACAGTGTACGCATTGTGAGAAGAATCTGTTCCTGCCTCGTTTCATTCGCTCCTGAGCTTCCTTCCTCTTTACATCCAATAATACAAGTACTCGCCACAACGAACGAACACGCTTGAATTCTTTGATATCATTCAGCAGCAGAATCCTTGAACACGCACTATCCATTGGTGTAACTGTATAGCAGTTGTCGTCCGATAGGGGAGAGGTCAACCAAAATACTGCTGAGTCATCCTCCAAACGCGAACCTTGCGCGCGCTTGTAATGTTTTCTTCCATCTCCTTGACGCTTCACATCTGGTCCTAGACATTCATCCATATGGCGTAATATCTACCTCCCCGGTCTGGACGCCAGGTCTCAGAATCCCGACCTTCTAGTCGTACCTGAACATCAACCGGTTGCCACACGACACCTCAACCTAGAATAGTGTTGTGGGTTTACAGCCCCTGAGAAATGGAGGTTGTGCACATCGTATCATGGCCGCAATCAGGCTAATAGTGGCAATGCCGAACCAAAGTCTTGGCTCAAATACAAGAAAGAAATGCTACGATCAAAGGCCGACGTGCAACCCAAGATCTACGCCTACTGTGCTGATAGGAGGATTGTTGAACGCCGGCCCGGTCTTATCGAATGCGGTGTCCACAACTCTCCTGCCACTAAACGATCGGCCAATCTAACGTTATGCAGAGCAGATCTAAGAGAATAGTTTGCGGTAGAAGTGAGGAGTTGGCGACGGGCGTGCAGGACTTGCGCTATCGGTATCGCCTGCGTGCATGGGACTCCGGGCAAGACATGGCCGAATTGCAAAGTCTCCGCAGTCGACACTCCATACCGAAGGAGGTTCCGAAAATATATTGTAGGTCGTGGCAGGTCTTTGCTAATTCTCCCCAGCCGCTTTCTTAGGTATAGCGGTGGCCATGTCTGAGGATAACAAGAATTCGGCATCCATTGTTGGGACCAAGCCCATTGACGACAATGATGTCGAGAACCCTTCTGCAGATATTGCTGTTGGATCGCAGGCTGAAGCTGTCGACTGTGGCTACCTGCGGCCATGGAACTTCAGGAACTTTTACAGAAGTGTTCTGTTCCAGATGATATTGTTTGGAGCGTACGTCTAGCAACATTTTCCGCGCGAGGACGTGCAATGTGCTAATTAGATCGCAGTCTTTCCCTCGTAGGCCCGGCCATGCAAGATGCGATCACCAATTTGGGCGGAGGTGGACTGAAAACACCATGGCTGGCGAATCTGGCAAACTCGCTGAATTATACGATGGGCTGCCTGACTACGCTCTTCGGTGGTCCACTCATCAACAAATTTGGAATCAAATGGTCTTGCATGATCGCTGCAGTCGTCTTCCCGCTTACAGGCTCTGCCTACTATTCTAACGCCAAATTCGGCATCGACTCGTATTTGCTGACTTCTCAGGTACGCAAAACTTGCGAGGCTGGTCTTGAGAACATGACTGACCAGGAATCAGATCATCGGTGGTATCGGCGGTGGCTTCTTGTATGTCGCCGAGACCACTGCAATGCTGTCATATCCCAAACAAGACGACCGAGGCTTCTACTTGGGAATCTGGGCAGCCATGAGGAACAGTGGAAGCGTGATTGGAGGCGCGATCAACTTTGCTACAAATAGCGAGCACTCTTCCGCAGGTGGTATTGCTTGGGCAACTTATCTAATCTTTGTTGGATTTGGTGAGTCGGAATTCTCATTGCTATTCCCCCACGCCGGTCACTGACGCTGAGCAGAGTGCACTGGTGTCATCTGGGCTTTCCTTCTATCGCCTACCAAACGTGTGCGACGACGAGATGGCAGCAAAGTTCCGATGTCAGGCAATATTACCTGGAAACAGGAGCTCCAAGAGCTTGGAAAATACTTCACCTATAAAAAGGTAGGCCGCGCATTATTTGAGATGGACGAGCTGAGATTGTACTGACTTCGTTAGACTTGGCTCGTCTTTTTGCCTTCGTTCTACTCTTTCTTCTACGGCGGAACGATGGGAACATATCTCTCAACACATTTCTCCGTAAGAGCTCGAGCATTGTCCTCGCTCCTCGTCCGTAAGTCGGATTCGTCCCGCTACACGTGAGAGCTTCTGACAGCATATAGCATCCTGCGTCATTCCTCTCGTCATTGGCTATGGTCGACTCCTCGACATGAAGCACTGGTCACGACGCCGAAGAGCTTGGACAGCATTCCTCATGTGGTGTCTGCCCCACATCGTCTGCTTCATTTGGATTGGTATCGAATACGGAAAGTTTGGTAATGGCAAAGCTGCTCTAGACTACGGCCTGTAAGCGAAGATGGTTCTTTCAGCACGCTCTAGGATATCGCTGACGTTTCCAAAGCAACACGAGACGATGGGCAGAAGCCTACTTACCCTACCTCATCATCTTCGTGACGGGCTACTGGACTCAGCTCTCCTTATACTGGATCCTGGGAGAACTCTCCACCGACGTCGAAGGCTCAGCACGAATCGGTGGTCTTTTCAGAGCTTTCGAAACATCCGGTCAAGCTGTATCATACGGCATCAACTCCATTGCCGGAACACATTTCCCTTTCTACATCAACGCAGCCCTTCTCGTCCTAGTCATGCCATGCATGGTCCTCCTCATCAGATTGGTCGCGGCCGCTGACGTTGCAGAAAATCGCGAGACCGCAGAGACCGAAGAGGTCGTGCCGAACAAGCAGACCGATTAGCCGCGGCGCAGTCGAAGATTAAGATACAGAAATATGTCACAGAGAAACTTCTAAAGCCATTCTACGCAGATGCATCACAATCTCCAAACCCAGCTTGACATCCCGCACCACAATATTGTGCTCCACTCCCACAGTATCCGTACTCGCTACAACAACTCCCTGCCGGAGCACCGTAGCATCTGAATCCGACTTGTGGGCCACACGTCCCGATTGGAGAGAAGTTGTAGGTTGATGTTGGTGCGGCAGATGCTGAACATGGTGTGCCTTCTGTGATTGTGATGACTGTATGAAAGTGTGAGTGCGAGGAATGCGGGTGAGCTTGGTTGGATGCTTCCTCACCGGCTGCGTAGCTTTGGGTTGTTAGGAGGAGGAGAGTGAGGAGGTGATGCATTGTGATTTTGATCTGCGATATGAGTTTGAGGATTGGGGCAGTAAATTTGTTTGCGCGGTCGTCTAAAGGATGTGAGCACGGGCTGAGGCATGAAGACTTAAGCAGATATGCTTTCGAGTGGTAATTTTGTATGACTTGTTATTCATTCCTCAGCCCAAAACATGCCGTGCAGCTCGAAATAAGCTCAATCAGTCCGTTCCACTGGGATATGACGGGAACAGATCTTTGAATTTTCCTTATCTAGCTAGCATCATACAGCCCTACCAAGCTCAATCGCGGAATCACTACTCGGCAAAACTCGCAATGCTTTCCGACTTCTCTCATCATTACAGAAGGGCTTTTGAGCACTCTCTTCGCATGACTTCCTGTAAGCTTCCACCTTCGCTTCGACAGAAGCAGTTTCGACCAGATGCAGCACTCGCTCTGGCGTGGCGTGGAAAGGTTTAGGCAGAGAAGGGTATTTTGTAGTCATCTCAGGCATCTTATGCTGGACCTTGAGGAAGTCTAGGATCAGAGGCGTGATGTGTGCGGCGCTGAGCAGGATGCGAGGCATGCCTAGAGAAGTCAGCTTGATTAGAACATTATGAATGTTCTGCGTGTTCGACTCACCATGCCCAGCAAATCCTGCTGCGATGAAATGACCTTCGCGATTCGGTACAGCACCAACGAAAGGGAACGAATCGATGCTTGATGTTTCGACTGCAGATTTGGTCAACACATATCTCGGAATTCTGAAGAGATGTTTGGGACTTACTGCCTGTCCAGCAACCACCCTCATCCAAATCCCTCTCAAGTCCAGCAGGATCTGGACCTTCCCAGCCTACAACATCAGAAGCAGGCCAGGTCTGAAAGAATTCTGCAATGCCTGAGACTTGCTTGTTTTCTTCATCGTTTGGGAAGCTGTCTTCAGGTCGATGGCAGAGGAATTGTCTTCCTCCTCCGAGGATGATGGTATTATAAGGTGGTGGGAGTTGCAGATGGTAGTTCTGTCGATGTTAGACGTCTCCATGCAATGTCGAGTGAAGACTCACATTTACAGAAGCATCCCAATGCTGTGCACCAGTATGCTTGATAAAGCCTTCAGGCGCTTTGATCGCAGCGATTGTGGCTCGATCGCCGAGAATGAGTTTTTGAAACTCGGGCAACAAGTAAGAGGCCCATCTGTTGGTGGTGTGCACAACCGCTTTGGTGCGAATGTCTCCTCTATCGGTAGTGACGGTGATCCAGCCGTTCGCGTCCCGATCCGAGATCTTTTGCGCTGGTGTGTGTGCGTGCAGATCTAGGTTTCCTGCATTCAGTACAATGCGAAGCAGAGCGTGCACGAACTTATATGGCCAGCTGCGGTGGTTCCATCAGCAATCGCGATGTGACCAAGTCTGCCTGGCCGAGACTCACATTTGACCCGCAGGATGAACGACAGCAGCCAGAGTATTCTTCATCTGCGAAAACGCGGTAGCTTCTTCAGGATCATCGATGACTCGGCAGAGCTTCACAATCTCATCATCCTCGCCGTGGTCAGCTTTCATGGCATCAAGACAACCCTTCAGTCGTGTCCGAGCCTCGTCAGTCATCGCAGCATCAAACGTCTCGCCAAACTTCAAGCACACGTCCTCTGCGAAGCCCTCTTCGTCTGCAAGATCTTGGAATGCGTCGAGATGTGCCATTTCGTGTCTGATGAGCTCCATAGCGCCATCGGCTCCGAATCGTTCTTTCCATGGCACGTATCGAGAGTACGCATGAGGTCTCAGCTGGCCACCTGGCAACTCGTTCAGCCTAGTCTTTTCTGCCACTTTCTCGCTGCAGACTTACCATTTCGACCAGTCGCGGCTCCGCATATGTTTCTCGCCTCCAGCAGTACCATTCGGGGCTGCACTGCCTGCTTTTCTGTGGACTGTACTTGTGCTTAGCTAAGGCGTGGATTCTTCGTAGCTTCGTCTGATGTACCTTGTGTATCCAGTAGGCTGTCGATGCGCCGGCATATCCGCTGCCAACAATGACTACATCGCTCTCTTGAGGAAGCTCTTCGCTCGATCTGAAGTCTCGCAGTTCAGACTCGGCTGCTTCTATCCAGTAAGACTTGGTAGGATCAGTGACGGGCAAGACCATTTTGGACGAATTTGGAGGTAAAGAATGGATGAGCAAATGTAGGTTTATACCGCCCTTTCACTCCTTGGGTACGGATGATTGTGGTCTGACCAGTGCCCAGTCACCGTTTCAGGCTGTGATCTCCTCAAGGCTGCATGGTACATTTTAGCCCGAACCGGCCGAGATTCCGATCTCTAACAATAGGTGATGCCGTGGCGATACACATACCCGTGTCGGAGGCATGAGCTTGTCATGTGCGGCCAAGATCGCGAAACGAAGAACCGGCCCGGTCGCCCCGATATCGCATCGCTTCTTGGAGACATTGTTTGCGTGGCAATGTAGTATCCACTGGTCCATTATGATTCCCCGTCCCCTCACCAGTCATCTCAGAACCAAATTCGTTCTGGCGCGGCCGAGTCGATGAATGGATGCTTATTCCCATCACTCTCAGGGCGGAGAGGCCATGTCGTGTCGTGGACGTTGATCGTCAAGGAAGAAACTGCACGCCAAACGTCGATAGAAGTCTTCCCCACCTGCCGCACACTCCCGCCTGCCGTATAGCAGCGCACGGTTTTACTATATATATTCAATACGGTCGCATTTACTTAATAATGGTTGGATTGTAGAGATTTTTGGTGTATATCAAAGCGCTAGAAGCGCTCTTTAATCTAATATAGAGACTATGTCCTATATCGTACTAAAAGCTATATAATACGTATAGGCTTACTAGAAGCCGAACTGCTAGCTTTCTTACTTAGAGACACTATAACATCTTACTTAGGCGGTTGCTCGAAGATAATACGCCGGAAGGGGTTCTTTACCTTCTTAACAACCTCCTATAGGTTAGTATTTAGCTATCTAGTAGCCTATTTATTTACCTTCTTTATCTCCTTCTTATAGGCTTCCTTAGTAAGCCTTACCTTCTTTTCTTTAGCCTCTAGTTATCGCTATATAGCCTTTAGCTGTTTAATACTAAGTGTATATTGCTTCTTAAGTGCCTTCTATACCTTCTCGTCTTATTTATAAGCCGCCTCTGCCTATTTCTATTATTCCTTCTCTTACTATATTTCCTTAGCTCTTAGTAGCTTAGAAGGGCTATAGAATATAGAAGCAGAGCCTTCTTCTACCCTTACTTGTTTAAACAACTTCTTGCCTCGTTTACGGCGCTTCTACTTATTATATAGGGCCTATCTAAGGCTATTAACTTAAGTATAAAGCAATAAATTCTTAGCTGCTAGGGTACTAACTTTACTACGTAGGCTAAGGACCTTATTAGTATCCTTATGCTTTACCTCCTTACGGATTAACGCACTTATCTTCCGCTAGTCTTATATAGTAAGTAAGCTACTCGTAGAAGGCCTAGAGCCTATAGAAGGCCTTAATAGTAGGTTTGAATAGTCGCTATATAGCTTCGGCAATAGTAGCTTAGATAGGACTAATTCCGGATTAAATAGATAGATACTAGTCTTCTTAAAAGCAGACTTAATATTATAAGGTGTTAGTACTAGTGTCTAGGCTTGCTAGAAGAGTATAAAGAAGGCCCTCTTTGTAATACCTTATATTGCCTATAACCTATATAGATAGGCGTTTAAAGCGGTTAAATACTACGAGGCAAGGGGTGCGAATACAGCTATATCTAGTAGTTATAGCCGGTAAGTTAAATAAGGCGGATATACGCCTACTAATATCTTCCTTCTAAGAGCTTAGTCGATAAACTTTATAGTTAAATAAGAGCCGTATCTATTAACTAAAAGCAGCCTCTAATCGCGACTATTACGAGCCTTCTTCTTTATAAAACGATCGTATACTTTAGTTAACTATTTAAAGCCGAGTTTATCTAAAGTCTAGCCTATTAGGGAGGTTGTTATTAGGACTAAAGAGGTTATACGTAATTGGTATATAACCGGGCTCGAGTAAAGCTAGGGTCTCGATGCCTTAGGCAGGGCTTAGCGCTTAGCAGTAGGCTAACTTGCCTGCCTTCCTCCCTCTCCTTCTAGATCTCTATCGAATACTACCTATACCTACTACTACCCTATCTACCTACTAACATACCCTTCTTATATAGTATTCGATCTACCCTTTAAGGGCAGTAGCTAGATAGTCCTTATTTCAAGCTTTTAGCGGTATAGCTACGAAAACCGTTAATCTAACTATATTGCGCCCGAAGAACGGGACCTATATACGTACTACTCTACTAAAACAACCGTACTAATTATTAAGCAAGGCCTTCTATACGGCCTATTATACTAAGTTAAGCATACTAGACCGATATCTACTAATTCCGCTATATCCGTATCTTAGGGGCTAATAATACATTATTAGTGTCGCCCCTTATAATAGCCGGTTTATTACGAAACAATAACCGTGCTACCGCTAGCAGCGCTAGCAACGATAACGCTAGCGGTATAGTGCCTACTAAAGTGCCTACTAAAGCACCTGCTAAAGTGCCTCCTACTAAAGAGCCTACTACTAGGCCTACCGAAGAACCTGTAGTCCTAGGTAATAATCTAGAATTGCCTATTAACGACATTCTTAGCAATATTGTTAACCGTCGATATAGCTAACTAGCCTTTAGCCCTTAGCTAGTAGCGAGACTTTAAGAAGCTACCTAAAACAGGCTCGCTGCTCTACGTTAAAAATAATAGCTAAAGGACAACCTCCTCGAAATTCGCCGCCTTTAGGAGGCCCTAACAACTAATACTAAGCCGATAGTAGGGCCTTCCTTACTATTAGTTCTAGTCTAGAAGAAGGATACTAATCTTAAGGACTGCACCGTGTTTAATAGCTCTAGTCGAAAGCAATATAATAACTATATTCGTAACTATAAGCTTAACTAGCGCAATATACTAAGAGCGCTGCTAGATAACTATTCCTTAGTTGTCTATACTATGCAGTACATTAACGGTAACCCTAAGCGTATATAGGATAACTATTTTGATTCCCTTTACGACTAGACCGCTATTTAATAGCAGGATTATAAGACTATTATACTAAACACCCTTAGCAACCCTATATTACGCTAGCAGCACGCCTAAGACTAATACCTACGTGCTAAACAAAAGGCCGACTAAACCTCTCGATCCTTCGAGGCCTACCTAAAGACCCTTAAGGACGACCTGCTACCTAAGACCGACTCTATCTAGATATCTGAGATACGACCTAAACTAAGATAGGAGCTAGTCCTTAAATTAGACCGCCGCCGTATGTTCGAACAGGCTAATCTAATACGCATTTAGTTTATAGTCGAAGTAGAAACAGCTAAACGAGCTGTTTAGCTCTAACAACGGTTAGAATCTAAAATACGCCTAGCTACCTATTATAGCTACGGAGGAAACTAAGGTTCCTACTAGAATAACAATACTAACAATAGGAACAGTAACAACGACCGTAGGAGAGGCCGTAGCCGACGGCTATATAGAGGAGGCTATAATAGGGGCCGTAGAAGGGGCTCGTATCCCTACAATACTAATCGCTTAACTAATAATAGCAGCAATAGCGGCTATAGCAACCCCCTAACTAGGTTGAAATGCTTTAACTATAACAGCACTAGCTATCTACTAGGCTAATGCGACAAACCTAAGGACTAGGCCCGAATCGACCGTGCTACCGCTAAGCACCGAAAGCACCTTTTAGTAGCTAACGCTATCCCTATAGGCTAACCTTCTTATTAGTCGAAAAAAGAATAAGCGCCGTACTAACTATTAGCCTTATACAGCGTAAGACTATTAACATTGTGCTAGCTATAACACGCTCCTACCTTGTATAGGATACAAAGGGTACTAACTATTAAACTAAGGTTATACTAGATCTAGGAAATTTAGTTAGTGCCCTTATTAGCTATCGCCTAGCTAAGCAATTAGACCTTCGATAACTGCCTAGGACTAACCTACTAACCCTTGCTTAGTTTAATAACGCTCGGCACTTAACCTATAGAGCCTACTATGTTTATATAGTCCTAAGAGATAACCTCGGCAACGAGCGCTTACTAGACTTTACTACCTACGCAGTAGATATAGACAACCTATATAGGGGAGCTACTATTGTTATTAGTAACCCTGTCCTTAAGCACTACTATCGCTATAGACTTAGGCAGTTAACAATAGCGATTTAGAATCGCTAGGAAAGAGGACATTAAATATATTAATATTAGCGAGTGCCCTAATAATATTAGGGTCCTATTTATTAGCAACCTAACCCTAGCTAACCTAATAGTCGACCTATTAGGGGATAACGATAAACCTATATCCCCTAATAGTATAAACCCTAATTAGCTCGCTCGTATACTATAGCCTATTCGAGAGACCTATATCGATGTATTTAAATACTACCTAGCATCGATATTGCCTATATTTAAAGAGACAGACTATAAGATCGATATTATATAGGGCAAGGAGGTCCCTTTTAGGCCTCTCTACAACCTTAGTAAACGGGAGCTTACTATGCTACGTAAGTACCTAGATAAGAACCTAGCTAATAGTCGAATTTAGTATAGCAACAGCCCTACTAGTATATCTATCCTATTCGTACCGAAGAAGGATAGTAGCCTACGCCTATATATCGACTATCGTAGGCTTAACGCTATTACTATTAAAGACCGCTATCTACTTCCGCTTATTAATAAGACCCTCGATCGCCTTTCTAGCGCCTGTTTCTATACTATATTAGACATTAAGGATGCGTACTATCGTATCTGTATTCGCAAGGGCGATGAATAGAAGACAGCCTTCTATACTCGCTATAGCTATTTCGAGTATTTAGTAATACTATTTAGCCTAGCTAATGCCCCTACTATATTCTAGTCCTATATTAATCGGGCCCTTTTAGGCCTATTAGACTACCTCTATATAGTTTACCTAGATAACATCCTAGTTTATACCTATTTACCTAATATCGTAGAATACTAGGCTATAGTACGTAAGGTGCTCGACCGCCTATAGGCCTATAGACTATATTGCAAGCCTTCTAAATATACCTTTGCTACTAAGGAGGTAGCCTTCCTTAGCTTCCTTATATTAACCGAGGGTATTAAGGCTAATCCTAATTGGATTACGACTATTACTAAGTAGCTAACGCCTACTAGTATTAAAGAACTTTAATTATTCCTCGGCTTCGCTAATTTCTATCGTCGCTTTATTAAGGGCTATTTACGGTATGTAATGCCCCTAACTAAGCTTACTAAAACTAAGGCTAACCCGACTAGAGAATTTAAATAGACTAACAAAGCGCAAGCCGCTTTTAACGGTTTAAAGAAGCGATTTACTAAAGTCCCCTTATTATACTACTTCGTACTAAGCAAACTAATCCGCATTAAGACTAACGCTTTACAGTTCGCTATATCGGCTATAATGTCTTAGCAGTTAGACAGTAACTACTACTAGCACCTAATTGCCTTCTTCTTATAGAAGATAATTAGTATAGAGCGTCGTTACGAGACCTACGAGCAAGAGCTCTTAGCAATCGTAGAAGCCTTTAAGTACTAGCGCTACTATCTCGATAGTGCTTAGCACCCTATTTAGGTCTATACAGACTATAACAACCTCCGTAGCATTACTAAGGTTACT